CGAGCGCACAGGAGGCACTTCACTGAAATTCTTCTTTTTTTTTCTTTTTTGCCTCCAAGCTACCTATTTCCACATCCTCCCAAAAGAAAGTGAGGTGACAGTGTGGGAGGTGGAAGAAGATGCTTTTTGGCAAAAGACTGGAAATCAGGAGCAAAGGCAGGCTGGACCTTCCTGCTAATTCATCCCAGAGTAGAAGCCCCCATAATAACCACTAAAAAAATCCAAGTTGAGGAAATAACAGATGGAGCCCCACAAACTCTCACACTCCTAAGTTCTCCCTGTCCTACCCTTCCCCCACACACAATATTTACAGGCTAACAAGCTGCCCACTGTCCTACCCACACCTCCTCTCCATTTGCCATCAGTAAGTCTAGTGTTGTCCCGTCTGGTTTAGGACAGGCCCCAGTGCGTTGCTGGGTGAGAAACGAGGGCGGTTCACAGCCTTAAAGGAAGTCAGTTGACCACAATGCTCCCCGGGGCGCTCAGTTCCCATCCAGAGCCCAGGAGGCAGCAGTGTGGGCAGTGCAGTGCTGTCCCTGGAGCACAGGCAGCCCCGAAGCCCCGTGCTGGGCTACGCCATCGCCCAGGCGCGTCAGGTCTCCTACGTAGGGACGGCAGCCTCCAGGCTGCGCCGGCCGTGGCGGAGCTTGCGCCTGCTGCTGTACAGGGCCATTTCTTCCAGTGCTGACGGAGTGGGTGTTGATGAATCACGCGTTACTAACATTTCCTCTTCCCCTGGCTGCCCATCCTGCTCCTGGGGAACTGTGTAGACAAGAAGAGTTCAGGTTTTAAGAGAAAGCACTGGGCTAAGTATCAAGCTGATACACTTAATGTGAACAGAAGGGTAGACCCAGGTGCTGAATTTTAGACAGCACTGAAGTCTTAGCAATTGATTTACAGTAATCCCATGCCTCAAACTTTTAGGTGATCTGTAGCTCACGTACTGCCTACTACTAGGACAAGAGGAAATGGCCTGAAGTTGCACTAGGGAAGTTTTGGTGGTTGGACATCAGGAAACACTTCTTCAATGAAAGGGTTGTCAGCGTGTGGCCCAGGCTGCCCAGGGCAGTGGTGGAGTCCCCACCCCTGGAGGTGTGTTCCCAAGCCGTGGAGATGTGGTGCTGAGGGACATGGTCAGTGGGGACCTGGCCTTGCTGGGGCAACGGTTGGACTTGTTGAGCTTAAAGGTCTTTTCCAACAAAAACAATTCCATGATTCTATGATGTACTGTGGATTCCAGGAAGGGAGTCACAGGTGAGAATGCCCGTGACTCACTGAAAATTATTTGACGTGCCAAGCCTTAGGAAAAATAAAGTATACTGCAAGGATTCAGGTGCTCCAAGCATCTCAGTGGCTCAGTATCAGAACACGGTGTGACTGCAGCGTGGCACGACACAGCTGGGGAGAGCTGTGAGCATTCTGCCCTTGCTTCATGTTGAAGTTACACGACTAAGTCCTCTCTGTAAATTCAGACAGTGACCTGGATCCCTTCAAAGGAACTCGCCAGGAAAGATATTCTGGCAGGACAGACTCTCAAATAACTTGGTCTCAGGCCTTGTAGGATGTGTTCTGCATCTAAAGTACTGCTATTACCATGTCTCCTTACCCTCCTGAAAGGAGCTGGTAGAGCTTCTCTGATGTGCTTTGACATACACCTAGAACGTCTGCCCTCTGTGGTAATTTGGTAATTAATTGTGTAAAAAGATCCTCAAAACCACAGATTTTTACATTCAAGTGCAAAGTAGCTCCTGGGAAGCTTCAAATGTAGCAGAGAAGAATCCATGAAAATGTGCTGGATCAGAAGCACACAGTCTGCTGAGCTGCATAAAGTGGCCTGCTCTCTGTTCTAGAGCCCAGCTCCAGGATGCAATATCCCCCTTGCTACAGTACTTGAGTGTAAGGATTGTTTTAATTCAGAATCCTTCCTGAACCATTCACCATAGCATCAGGGAACCACTGGGGAGAGTCCAGGGGAGGCTGTGGAGCTGCTGAGGGGCTGGAGCAGCTCTGTGCCAGGCCAGGCTGAGAGCCCTGGGGCTGCTGAGCTGGAGAGGAGAAGCCTCAGAGGGGATCTGAGCAGTGCTGAGCAAGAGCTCAAGGGCCCCGGGGGGCAAGAGGCTGGGGCCAGACTCTGCTCCGTGGTGCCCAGCCACAGGAGAAGGGGCAACGGGCACCAACTGGAACCCAGGAGGTGCCACCTGAGCAGGAGGAGAAACTTCTTTGGTGTGAGGTGCCCGAGCCTGGAGCAGCTGCCCAGAGAGGCTGTGGAGTCTCCTGCTCTGGAGAGATCCCAAACCTGCCTGGAGCCCATCCTGGGCACCCTGCTGTGGGTGAGCTGCTGGGCAGGGGTGGGATGGAGTGATCCCCAGGGGTCCCTTCCAGCCCCACCGCACCCGGGTGCGGTGATTAACCTGCTGTTTGAAAACCCAGGCCTAAATAAATGTAGGTGACAAATCTGACCTCTTGAAAGGATGCTGGGACTGGTAAGCAGGTGACTGACTTCCAAACAAGGCAAACAGCTGTAGATAAAAGGCACGGGCACATGCAGATAAAAATCCAGAGGAGGGTGGAGTGTGGAGGAAATCAATGTGGCTCAGAGGGAAGTCATTCCTTGTAGACACTGTTAGACTAGAATTTGCCAAAGCAGCCATTAAACATGCAAGTTAAGTGACCTCAACACAGTATACTGAACTTATAAAAATATGTTTGATTGTTCCTCAGCCAAAGCTCTTAATGAAAACGAGCTGCCATGGGATAAGGTGGCACACCTTTTAGTGGAGAAAAAGTAGTTAAAACTCAGAAAAAGTGCAGGAAGATACTGGCTGGTACCATAACATAGAGCAGCCATCTGTACTAGGGTCAGTACTTGGTAGCTAATGAGAAGGGGTAGAACTGATGAAGATGTTATTGAGAGAAACTGCTGACTATCAATTTGTGTGTCAGGGCAGTCAAATGAAACTCAACTACAAAAAAGGGCATTAGAATTTTACAGAGGTGACTGGAATCCACCCTAAAATTAAAGGTCTCTGGTTTAGTGCTAAACCACAGATGAATGTAGCCTGGAACAGTATTCTAGAAGGAATCACTTTATGCTTTTTTTCTTTTATGCTTTTTTCTTGGAACTCCCAGTAGCTTGCATCAGACAATACTAGACTAGTGAGAACCTTCTGCTGACTTAGTTTAGAGCTGGGGACAGAAAGACGTCCCATAGCTAGGACAGCGTGAGGAGAAGCAGCAGTCACAGCTCATTAAATTTGACTGTGTGTTTAGTGACCGTGCACACGGATCCATAGGTGTAGACATGGAGTCACCAGGGCACTCAGGCACCCAAATGCTCTCAGGTCTTAAACCAAGATGAATTCATTTGCAGCTGCCTGCTGCAGGCAACAAGATTCTTTGCTCTAGCAAAAGGGGCACAAAGCAGACCCTGAACAACAGACATTATCCACTTACAGCACGTGACAGAGGCCAAAACTCCCCACCCACATTCTACTACCACTCTTCACTCCAGAACACAAAACCAGAAGAAAATGAGGCATGCTTGTTACACACCATTCGCAGCAAACGAGCCACCGCTAAAGCACAATGCAAATATCCTACCCAAAACTGAACGTGGTGAGTTTGGAGGTTTCATTCTAGAACAGACAAAACAGAACACTGCTTCAAGCAGCAAGAAGATGAAGTTCTCAGGGCTGATTCCACAAGCAGGCAAAGGGGAACCCTATGGAACTGTAGTGGGAAGTAAGTAGTACAAAGATAATTCCTTTGGTCATGAGCTTACCTGAGTTATTTCTGTCATCGACGTGTCTGAGGTCATCAGCTGCATCAGGAGACTAGGAGAGAAGAGAAGCCATGAGCACCCGCCTCGGTCACACTAGTGCCGGTACCTGCCCGCCTCCAGCCTTCCAACACACCAGCAGTGGTTCTCAGCCTGTGGTCTGCAGACCCCTGAGGGGCTGTGGTGTCACCACAGGGGGTCTGTGAAGGCTCAAAGCAGAGGAGGGGAGTGTCCAGCCTGGGGCAAGCACTCGCCTCTTTTTCCCACAGTCCCCTCCCCTCTATGAATTTGAAACTGAAAAAAAAAAATTGAAATGGAAGTAAATATTTGACTCAGTCTAGTCCTTTAAAATTTGAATTAAGTCTTGGTGGTCCACAGCAGGTATTTAAAGGGGGTTGTGGTGAAGGAAAGGTTGAGAACCCCTGCACCATGGAGAACCTTCTGCTCTCCAACGTGCTGTCAAAGAGCAGCCGGGGCATGATCCCAGTGATGGCACATGATGACAACACAAATCCTCTATGCTGAAGTCAAGCAGCCCATTGTCTGAGCTGCAGGATGAGGTGTGCAGGGAGGAGAAGACAGGAAGTGACGTGAAAGGCAGAAAGACTACAGCAAATGAGTAGAAAAATGGGAGGTGAGAAAAGACATGAGCTGCATTTCCTTGAGAGTCCTGGATCCTAATTCTGCACTGTTCCCAGGCCTAGCTCCTCATGCAAAATCAACCTCCTCCTCTATATTCAGGTGTCTGGAGAACTGCGGTGGGACAGGAAGCAGTTACATCCCAACAGACAGCAGAGACAGCTCTGGAGAAATGGCTCCACAAAATGAAGACCATTCCAACAACCAGAGCTGTCTGTAGCTCTTCAGACCAAAGTGACATCTCCATGAGAAAACAACTTTGCTCATGGTCATGAACTTCAGGTGGCTTGAAAAGCAGCACTAGTCTGGGGCCAGGCATCAATATCCCAAGCCCTACTCATTTTGCTGAAATATGGAATTTAATGTAGCTAGATAAGTTTCTTCAAAGGCCAGAAAGGCTAAAGTACTCTCCTGAGGTGTTCTGCTTCCCGCAAAAGGGGCTGCACTTGTTACTTCTGCTGCTCTTTTGAGGTTTGTACACAATACGTAGGCTGAGCTCTGTGCTTCTCTGAGCAACACAAATGTAAGGACAGGGCTTCAGAAGAATGCAGTATTCAGGAAGATTAGTAATGCCAAACTTATCTGAAAGTTCTGACTACTGATGGAAATTCTGAAAGCAGCAGGGAGAAGTCTCACAGCCACTGCCACCTGTTCTCGTAAGGGACTTCAACTTACTATATGTGTGCTGGAAATAAAATGCAACAGAGAGGAAACAGTCTAAAAGGTTCCTGGAGTGTGTGGAAGAAAACTTCCTGGAACAGCTGGTGAGAAAGCCACCTAAGGAAGGCTCCCTGCTAGACCTGTTGCTCACACAGAAAGACCTGTGGGTGACGTGAAGGTTGGAGTCCATCCAGGGCATAGCAGTCATGGAATGGTAGAGTTTTCAATTCTTGGGGGAAGTAAAGAGGGGGATCATGAGAACTGCAGTTTGGACTTCTGAAGGACAGAGTTTGACCTGTTTAGGAGACTGGTTGACAAGAGTCCCTCGGGAGGCAGTCGTGAAGGGCGAAGGGAAGGCTGGACGTTCCTTGAGGGAAATATCTTTAAGGCACAGGAACAAGCTGATGGGAAAGAAGACCAACCTGACTAAACAGAGCTTTAGATGGAACTGAGGAAGAAAAGGAAAGTCTATGGCCTATGGAAGAAGGGGCAGGTCACTCAAGAAGACTACAAAGATTTTGTGAGGCTATGCAGGGAGAAAATTAGAAGGGGCAAAACCCAACTTGAACTTAATCTGGGTACTGCCATAAAAGATGATACAAAATGTTTCTATAAATATGCTAATAGCAAAAAGAGGACTAAGAAGAATCTCCATCTTTTATTGGATGTGGGGGGAAGTATAGTGACCAAGGAGGAGGAGAAGGCTGAGGTACTGAATGGCTGGCCAGGGGGGGGGATGCTGCCCAGGGACGTGATTGAGTCACCATCCCTGGAGGTAGTTAGCAGACGTGCAGACGTGGCACCTAGGGACATGGTTTAGTGGTGCCCTGGCAGTGCTGGATTAATGGTTGGACTTGATGATCTTAAAGGTCTCTTCCAACCAAAACGATTCTATGATAAATCTTTTAGGGGTCTTGTTGCTCAGCTCCAGAGCACAAGTGAAGCACAGCTTCATTTTAATTCAGTTGCAGGACAAAGGATGTCAGCTCTGTACACTTCCACGGAGAGCACTAGGGAAGGTTGGCAGTTGCGAAAGGGCGAGAGCGCCTCGTTTCCACACAAAACTGCCTAGTTTGTGCATGCAGCAGAACTGGAGGGGGCAGGAAAGAGGGGGAGATGATCTCAGCCCATTTAGTGCTTTAGAAACAAAGCAAAGGTATGACAGAAGTCAGGCTCCTCAGGAAGAGCGAGGAGCAGAGCCTGGGGCTGTGATGACTTGGGCAGGTGCTGCGGAGGAACACGGGCCAGGAGATCCACTGCGCTGGCCCGACGTCAGTGACGTGGCTGGGTGACTACGGCCAGGAAGAAATATAACTTCTTAATTACTGCACTGCTGAGAGGTCCAGAGGAACTGCCTGACGATTTAGAGGTGTAGCCTTCTTTGGAGGCAGCTTCTCAGCTGCCTGGAGACCCAGTGCTGCACCATGGCCTCAAAAGAGGCTTGGGGAAACTCAGGTAGTCTGGAGCTGCTGCTGGGGCTCCAGTGGCCAGCCCTCTAACTCACCTGGTACGGCATCTGGACACATGCACACCCAAAAGAGAAAGGATTCTTAGAGATGAGTGACTACCAAGGGCTGAGCAGTGCCACCAGTGAAAGGAGTCAGCCCAGAAAATGCATCAAGTAACATTTAACTGCCTGAGAATCCTCAAACTGCAACTCTGCTGAAGTCAGCCTGGCTTTGGGGATCACACCTTGGGTCTGGGCTCTGTGTGTCAGGACAGCAAGTCAAAGCCCAACATGTCAGTACTTGCTAGGTACAACACAAACATAACTGCAGGTATTGGCTTCACTGTCTCTCTATAAAAGTAAAAACTAAAAAAAGAAGCGTAAAAAAGAATAAATTACCGACATAGAGTATGTGCTCAACTCAGCTGTCAAACACACCAGCTCATGGCTGACCCAGACAGCACGAGAAAGGCAGCTCACAGGCCTGGGCAACTGGTTCTAGGTGGCCCTGCTGGAGGAGACGGGTCAGGCAAGATGACCTCCAGATGTCCTTCCAAACTCAGGTGTTCTGTAGTTCTATCACAAACCAGCTTAAATGAAATTAAGTTCTTTTAGGAAGGAGAAGAACCTTGCCATGGAGCTCACCCTCAAAACTTGGTGTTCTCTTACCACACAATTACTTCAGAGTTCATCTAAAGCAGAGTTAGAATATCTGAGAACTGTCACCAGAGCTGCTTCTTGGGCAGGATGCCTGATACATTCCAGTTCAAAGTGAACATCTGCTCCAGTTCGCTGGCAATCATTTCTATAGGTATTCTTTTTCCCCTTTTAGTTCTCATCTTTCACTTAAAAATAATCTGGAATCAATTAAGGTGAAGATATAGCTGCTTTTGTCATTATTTTTAAAAATATCTGGACAAACTTTTTCACAATTTCACTTGCTAAGGTCTCCAATAAACCCTCAGTTACACAGCCTGGTTGGTCATCACTGCCTCCCACACAGACAGGACCTTTGAAGAGGACTGCCTCAAATCAGTGTCCACCAAATCAAGACCTAGCCCACCTAATAATGGTTCAGCATGCAGTTTTATACCTGGATTTCGTAAACAGGTTTGGAGGAAGGAATAGCAGCAAATTCCCGGTAGTCAAACTTCTTTTCAGACATGGACTAGAAGGGACAGCAAAAGAGAAGAAACAGAGAAGAGAGAGTAAGAGGAGAGAAATGGACGGAAAACCAGCAGCAAGCTCAGCAATCCATGCAGAGATATAAGCAGAAGCAGCACGTCATTTTCAGCAGGTACCAAGAGTGCCTGGATATAGCCTCTGGAAACAAGGCATCTCCAGGACATTGGCTTTTTAGCTGCTCTGGGGTCAGGACAGGGGGTCCAAGTTGCAGAGAAAACATTACGTGCTCCAGTAAAATGCATGTGCACACCAAGTTACATAGGAAACCTGTTTTTATGGGAAAAGTCATGGCCAGATTCCTGAGGGGTGTAGCACAGTCAGGATTTCAATCAGTCGGTTCTATTGAGTGACCTTGGGCAATACCAGGTCCCCTCTCTGTGCAGCTGCTCCCACTCTTCTGTTCATCTGTCTTAATAATTTTTGTTTGTTCTCTGCAACAATGGCTTGTTGCATTTATACAGTGCTTAGAAGAAGAAAAATGCTGATTTCAGCTGAGGTTTTGTTTTGTGCTTTTGAGGAAACAAGGGCCCAAAGTCTCTGAAGCAAAAGGCTTTCTGAACATGGCAATGAAGAACCAGGGAAAGGATGAAATAATAAAACAGGGAAACAGAAATCAGATGGTTACATCATAGCTGCAAAAGAAGGGGGATGCCTCTAGCACTGGGTATGGCAGAGCTCTGGCCACTGTGCCCTCTTCACAGCTCTGTGCATCATGCAGCCAGACCTGGCTTAAGAATCTCAGTAGGGACCCATGGCCCAGATGCACAGTCCACACCAAAGCTGAGTAAGGGGGAAGTCCCAGGGTTACCAGCGAGATAAGAGGAGCAGGCAGAAGCATGTCCTACCAGCCTTCCCGGCGAGGTGACGCCTCTGGGGCTGCAGTCTGCAAGAGAGGCCAGAACACACCGGTTAGCGCACGGCCGCCCACGGCCCCGCTCCCGAGCCCGCCCTCCCACCAGCAGCGGCTACTGGGACAGACCCAGGAGAGATGCTGCCTTCTCAGGACAAATGCCTCCTTCCCATTTTCTTAAAGAGTCACGATCCTGGGTTTTGTTCCTGCTCTGGTTCCATAGAACCATACCTCAGGTGTTCTCTCATGTTTTCTACAGATCAGGCCCATGCCCTATGGTGAGAGACATCGTAAGCCCCAAAGAACCTTCCACAGTCCAGGCTGAAGGAGAAAATTGCTCTCAACAGGTCTGTTTTCAAGCAAGTCAAGCTAGAGAAGGATTAATGTTTTTTCTCAGAGCTAGAGACAGCTACAGTACCTTCCAGCGGTGTCGGTGACGGGGTGGGCACAGGCGAAGGTGACTCTGCCAGCTGCTCCAGAGTGCTGCGCTTCTTCCCCTCCTTGGACTTGGCAATAACCATCTGGGCTTTAAGAGCATCCTGTTCAAGCGATTTCATCCTGCCTCAGAAATAAGGGGGAGGAGAAAGAGACATCAGATACGGCCTCCTCAGTGAGAGACAAAGCCACCTTCTGTGCCCAGCAGTCAGACCACAGGCAGCACCAGGCTGAGCACAGGGAGGTGAAAAGAAGCACCCTGGATTCCCTGAGAGCCTGTAGGACTCTCAGAGCAGGACAGGAGAGCGGCTTGGTTTGCTGTCACCCTGCGACACACGTGCCATCACATGTGTTGAACAGAGCCTGGAGCTAAGCAGAAACACACTGAGAAGCTGCAGCCCTTCCAGAGGAGCCGTATACACTGGGACAGGAACTGCAGGGGCTCAAATGAGTATGATCAGCTCTCGGGGCTTTACTCTCCTCTGTGCTCTCAGTGTGTTGCACCTGAACCCTCTTCTGCCATCAGGAGATTATGAAAGAGCTACAAAAAAGTGGGCTCAACCCACAGGAATGTCTGCTCCCCGACCAAACAGACCCAGCACCCCCCCATCCTCAATGGGACAACTGCCAGTAGTCTGTGGGACCCCAGGGAAATGAGAGCAGTGACCGCTACCATCCCCTCCCTGCCCCTCGCAGGCCGCAGCCGGGAGCACGGCGTCAGGACGGAGGGACACAGCCAGAGCTGTGGAGCATGCAGCTGGCAGGGAGGGGGCTGTGCACACCTGGATTGGCTTCCTGACCCAGGGGTTCTC